CTCTTGTCTTTTTTCTTCCTCCCACTAGGCCCACGTTCGAAATTGGAAGGTGTCCGCCTCCCCTTTGTCCTTTTCTATACTTAGTTGTGTCTCTCTCCTCTTTCTTCGATGCACTTCTCCTCTACTCTCGTCGGGACCACTTGATTGCACCTCCACTTTCTATTTTTCGCCGCCGTTGTCCTTTCCTAGACTTAGCATCTTCCTGCTTCGCCCTTATCCTCCGTTGCTCCTCTTTTCTTCCCTGTTCCCCCTCTTCACATCTAGTCGCTTCTTGTCCCTTGCCTTGTTGCGAGTAGCCACGCCTGAAGGCGTGGCGAGGTGAGGTGCGCGTTCTCCTCCCGGTTTCCCGCCTTCGAAGTTCGTAATCAAAGAGTGGTGATGTGCGCGCGCGGCGTGAAAATTCGCCGTGGCGCGGTATCGCAAATTAGCGCTGTGAATTAGCGCTTACCGGTTCGGCGCTAACGCCTTGGCGCCCCCCCCCACCTCCTCAAAAAACAATATGCTAGAGAAGTCCGCCAGTGGGGCTGCTACTATCAGAAGACTTTCGAATTTCACTCGTAGGCCCTTTCAGGGCCTGTCCGGTTGGGGTACCCGATAGCGAAAAACCAACACAGCAATTTTCCTGGGTGCCCCAGGCCAAGGTGAACGGCCTGGGACCCCAAAAATTTCTTTTCGAATTTTTTGATTTTGGGGTCCAACCGGACCCTCCTAACCGGACACCGGACCCGGACACCGGACTGTCTGGATCGGGATCCGGACGTCCGGTTGGTAACCATGATATTATATAATGCACCCTTGCTTTCTAAGAGGGAATACGAGAAATTCCTTTTTTGTTGACAGCACCGGCATGTAGGGCTTTTCAACTTCGGGTGCAAGTGACGCCTTTGCCCGTTTGCCAAGGTACTCTACTTTCGGGAAAAAGGAGCCCCTCCTATGTAATGGGTGCTTTCAGACTACGGGTACAAGTGACACCTTTTCCCGTTTTCTAAGGTACTCTTAACGAGCATCGGCAATATTCGGCAGGGTGCATAACGTTCCCGCTACAGACAGATTACATGGTTGCCACGTTTGTGTGTTTGCCCGTTTGCCAAGCTACTGTACTTTGGGGGAAAAGGAGCCCCTTCTGTGTATAATGGGGGCTTTCGGACTTCGGGTACAAGTGAACATGTTTTCCCGTTTTTCGAGGTACTCTTCACGAACATTGGCAATACATGTGTCATCTCGTCCGAATAGCCTGATGAGGTAGTATAGTGAGCTTCATGTATTTCATCTCGTTGAATCGTTTGGGCTTCAAGGATACAATCGTGCTCTCCGACACCGTGCTGTCATCTTCTTGCTCTCTATGAATCCTTTCTTCCCTGACTGCTCTACCTCTGCAATATAGTCTCTTTTCTTTTTTTCCCTCTCTCCTTCCTTTCTCGCTCCAGTCATCCTTTTGTGATGGAGGGCTTACCATTATGCTGTGGTTGCTCGATTGCTTGATTTTCTGGTTACGAGTAGAAAGAAGGGCTTGATCTTATGTCAAAACATCACATGCTTGCAGATGTGGTTACTATCATAGGAACTCATGATATTGTGTTCGGAGAACAAGGGGGATTAGTGCTAGCGGGTCGGGAATGGTCTCTGATTAGAGAGGACATGGATGGTAAGTGGGGAGGGAAGAGGATGACACTTGGGACAGTTGGGATAGGGTCAGTTGGGATAGGGTGTGTAGGGGCAGCAGAGGCAGGAAGGAATTAGTTCTGGCGCCTGATACAGGGCAAAGAGCCCCCCCCCTATCGCTCGATAACCTGCATAGTTAATCCTCTGGACACCAGAGTAATCAATGCTGGCAGGCGTTTTCTCAGTTACTCTCTCTGAGGGCATCTGGATGCAGCGCTTCCGTTACGTCCCCCCTCGGAGTCTCCTGACCCCTTCCCACCCCATAGTCTGTTATTGGTGGATCTCCAGTGGTGTGGAGCAGAGTGAGTGGGGGGTGCATGATCTGCATAGTTACTAAGTTGCAGAAGCTTAATTTGCTGTATCTGAAAGGGTGGACGGGGCTAGGTCGCCATGCATTTTTGGCGCCCAGCAGCAAGGCTGAAGAGGCCCCTTCTTCCTCCCTCTCTGGCTACTCGTCTTCCTGCTCAGTTAATCCCCTGTTCTCAGGGCAACCAATGCTGACAGAAGATGAGGAAATCTTCAGAAGGACCTCAATGGCTTTTGTTTAGGGACGCTGGACCCGTTTTCCAGCAGGTGTTGCTCCCATCAATAGATGGAGCCTCCCCGGGGGGGGGAGATGGAGGCGTCTGCTCATACCAGCGCCCCTAGCTCCCAAACGGGCAGTTAAAAAAAAAAAAAAAACGATGCGTTCTCCAATGCTTTTGCCCAATATTCAGAATCTCCTCCATAGCTTTGAAGTTTGGTCGCACGGTCTTCTGGGGTAGACTGTGGGCATCCAGATTTTAATTATTTCTTCCCTTTCCGGTAACTTCTTGGGTACCCCTTCTTTCCCATGAGGACTTCCGAAGGGACTTTCGGGCTCAGTGAGGAACTTGGTGGTGGACTTGAGTCTTGGACCCTTTATCTCACCGTCTCCCTCACCTTCTTTTTGACTCAACTCGGCTCACTCGTAAAATTTTGATTTTTTTCCAGTCTTGAGTTCATGGCATGCTTTTGCAGCTTAATTGTTTCTTCCTTCTCTTGTAGTTTAGCTTTGCCCTAGACGAGGCCTTGAAAGCACTTAATTTATTTCATTAGCTGCTTCACTCCTCCAAAGAAATAGGCCATCTAGGTAATAACATGAGATGACATCATGCTCCTTAATTAGCAGTGGCTGGTCATGGTAACCATGAAAGACTCTAATTCTTTATCTATTTTAGTATTTTACTATTTGTTGAATTTTTTCTACGGAGTCTCCCTCTTTTATTGGGCTAAGTCCTGTCGCATGGCTTCAAGTTTGTTCGATTGGATTTTTTCTTTTTCTTTTACTCTTGCCACTCCTTTATCTTGCCTCTCATTTTTTTTTTCCAGCTTTTTGTTCAACCTCTGTACATTAGCTTCAGTCTGGCTCAATCTTTTTTTTTTTTTTTTTTTTTTTTTTTAAATAGT